GTATTTGCTGCTATTTTAAGGAAACTTCCTTTATCCTTTGGAGAGTAGTATAGAGGGATGACTGTGTGATGCCCATGGTTACAATGTGCTTTGGTCATCCCGCTTAGTGCCAATAACACACCCTGCACAGCCTGATCTTTTAAATAAATTATTTGAACCAAGTACATAAAACAGAAGTTGGAATGCTACAAAGCACAATGTGAGCTTTTTAGCATCGTAATTATCTGTAGGAGTGCCACAAACGTCCCATTGGGATGGGAGGGATCATCTGGGTTCTTTGTGCAAATGGGAGCTTTGTGACCTCACGTTCTGAGGATTCCAAATGGGTCCCCCGGCCAAAAAAAGGGATCTTGCTATCCTCAGACTGCATTGTATCTTCTGGCTTTGGAGAAGTATATTTTGATAACAGTGCCAGAATTCAGTATCAAATAACTTCAGTTCAATAGCTGTGGATTCCTTTCTACTTCAGAACAAGTAGATTATTCAGTAGTAAATAAAATAGCCATGATTTTCATTAGACTGTAGGTGGCAATGCCTTTAAAAGCAACGTACTGCCTTATATTTCTCTAGGTGCAGCAGGTGATCCTGGTACTCCTGGACTGCCAGGTATGCCAGGCCGCAGTATTAACATAGGGTATCTCCTTGTGAAGCACAGTCAATCTGCTCAAGAGCCGATGTGTCCAGAGGGCATGAACCAACTTTGGAGCGGCTACAGTTTATTGTACTTTGAAGGACAAGAAGAAGCACATAACCAGGATCTTGGTATGCATTTTAGCTGCTTAGCTAAAATAAACATTGTAAATTTATTAAACATTTCATCAGCATTTCTAAAAAAAATTAACAGAATTAATTGTCAGATAACAGGAATCATGTACCAGATTGGTACCAGGGTTTTACTATGCCATAAACTCTCATGGATTACAGACCATTTCAGCAGATGCATGGATTGTTATTCTGAAAGAAGAGTATTTCCACCATGGCTGGGCTGATATTAAATATCAGACAGGCAAACAGACAGAAAGAAATAAATGTAAAAGGTTCAAACAGTGATAGTGTCCATTCAGAAGACAGTTGTTGGACATGAGGCAAAAATTCATGCAAGCATGTTCTGTTATCTATATATCCCAATATCTATTTTATGAACAGGACCCAATCAATAAATAATTATCATTGTCTGCATCTCCTATCCTCCTACCCACTTCCCCCAACACATGTCACTCTAGTGGACATACACTCCTCCCCTAGGAGATGTCTTTAATTATTTCAGTGCAGAAGAAACAGTTAAGAACATCTAAATGGGCTTGTTTTCAGACTTACAAGCAAGCTTTCTGGAGGATACTGCTGACTAGTCTTTAAATAATGTACCAGCAAAAATGCATGCAAAGATTGATAACTATTATCAGTGCTATAACTATTCTAGCATCACTGTCATCATCACTACTTATTGTTACTATTATTACTTAGATTTATATCCTGTTTTTTCTTAAGGAGCTGAAAGCAGTTTATATGGCTTTCTGCCTTCATTTTATGCCAACTCTGTGAGGTAGGCTGGGCTGAGAAAATGATTGACCCTTATCACTCGGCGAGTTTCCATGGCTAAGGATGGACTTGCACCTAGATTACCCCAGTCCTAATCCAACACTTGAACCCCTACACCACACTAGCCTCCACAAGCAAATCCCTTGTGGAACTATGCAAGGAACTTCCAAGAGAAGGGTTGGCAACCTTCTTCCCCGTAGGGGCCAGAAGCCATGCTGCCGCCACACATTTTCTGTTCCTTCTCTACCTCATTGCTCCCACCAATATCTGGGCAGGGGACTTGCTCTGCCCGCATCAAGGTGGCTGGTGAACCTGTTGCCCAAATGGCCACCCAAGGAAACAGCAAGCACTCACAAGAGCAGCCAAATGGATGGTTGCTCTCACGCACATGTGTACAGACTGGGTAGATAGGTTTCTTTGGGGGACTTGTGGGCTGGATGATTTTGGGTGGCGAGTCAGATCCAGCCCACAGGATGCCAACCCCATTCTAAGATACTAGGATGGCGCAACACTATGGATTTGTTACTGTACTGTCAGAAACTGGTGACAGAAATGTTTATAAAACATTGTTGAACAGAAATGAATAGGAGTAACTTGCATGGATTTTTATTTTGGTGATCAAATAGAATTTAATAGGATAGAAAAGGAGATCTCTGACATTTACATCTAGCATAAAAGTATTGCAGTTAATAGATTATAGCAGAATTAATTTGTGCTAGTTGAATTAAATGTAATGCTACTGTACCTCTGTATTTCTTTCGGTTCTAGATGCCAGAGGGCTACTGTTCTAACCATGGGGCTGGAACATCAAAAATTTACAATAGACAAATAAAAAATATCCTTCTGGAGGTGGAAGCATTCTGACATTTTACTAGTTCTCTAAAATATTATTAACATTTCTTCTTTCCAACCTTTCTTGGGGGGGGAGGTTTCTGAAGTATTTCAGAACTTCAGAAGCACTTACTAGTTTGGAAGCCAACCTTATTGTTCTGAACTTTCAGAACAGACTACACCTGGAGACACGTTAGTATTTATTCCCTGTGTTTATTCTTCTAGGCCTGGCTGGGTCATGTTTGGCTCGATTCAACACTATGCCTTTCCTTTACTGCAATCCGGGGGATGTCTGCTACTACGCAAGTCGCAATGATAAATCCTACTGGCTCTCAACCACAGCCTCTCTTCCAATGATGCCTGTGGTGGAGGAAGATATCAAACCTTATATCAGCCGTTGTTCTGTCTGTGAAGCTCCTGCTCTCGCCATTGCTATTCATAGTCAAGATATTACTATTCCTCACTGTCCTGAAGGATGGCGCAGTTTATGGATTGGTTATTCTTTCCTTATGGTATGTGCTTCCTTTGCTGGTTGGGGTAAAAATTCAGAATGCTTTTAAAATTATACTTATCTCCTGCTTTTATGTAAAGTAATGTATTTATTTAAGCCATTAAATTAATATGAGATTAATATGGCAAAATTATGGACCAGTAAGTAAGTTTTTCAAATAAAATCTAAATGCTTGGAGCTCTGATTATGTTCTGCCAATGATTTAACTTCTTAAAAAGATGAAATAGATAATCAGAAAAAGAAACAGAAAGTTAAGTAGGATCATAATTTTATGGCCTTCATATTTATTAAGATATATACCTAAATATTTAAGGTAAGAGCACTTCAAATACAATTTTGTAGTTGATTATCTTTTTGAACATATAATGACATATTTAGATATAATTTCAGGTGGCATAATAAATTATACTGCCTATATTAGACTATTAGTTCTATTAACACAGGGTTTGACAGGAGCAAAAAAGGACCTGTCTAAAATGGGTCATATACGACAACTCTGAACAGACCTCTGTATTTTCCCAGATTGATTTTCAGATCATAAATCTAGTGCATTAGCCTCCAAGCTCCTGTTCAGACTCAGATAAACAAGAGAAATAATAATGGCTGTTACAGGCAATAATCTCTGGGTATTCTAATTCTGTAACAATAGATAGATGTTCAAAAGAAACAGTATTTGGGGACAATATTGGACTTATGGAACCTTTATTAGCACACACTTGATTTACCGTATTTTTCCAACAATAAGACGCCCCCATGTACAAGACGACCCCCACTTTTCCAACCCAAAATTAAGAAATCAATATTTTAAAGATAGTGCAGAACACATTTTTATTTAGTAATTAGTTAACATTGACCTGATACACTCGGTGGGAGGAGGTCTAAACTGTCTCTGTGCAGCTCGGACTTATGGAACCTTTATTAGCACACACTTGATTTACCGTATTTTTCCAACAATAAGACGCCCCCATGTACAAGACGACCCCCACTTTTCCAACCCAAAATTAAGAAATCAATATTTTAAAGATAGTGCAGAACACATTTTTATTTAGTAATTAGTTAACATTGACCTGATACACTCGGTGGGAGGAGGTCTAAACTGTCTCTGTGCAGCTCTATTTCCAGGCTCTTTTGCATAACTGATTACATTCAAGCACGAGTGAAACTGTCGATAGCTTGTCTCTGCAAACAGCCTTCCTCTAATTGGTTTGTTCAGCATCAGCTGACGTCAGTTCCATAAGGCTC